ACCACGGCATGCCAGCAACCAGTCTGCACAAACAAGCAAATCCCCATCCGTGAGATGCAGGCAGCACACAAAACCACGCACCCTCTGGTCCGTGGAAAAAACCTCTCTCCACAGAATTGGTCCCTGGTGCCTAAAAGGTTGGGAACCTCTGCTCTAGATAGAGTAAGTATGAGGCAAAACACTCCTAGAGGGGGCTACTCTATTCTCCTAATTTTTTAAGTATAGAACACAGGTGTTTCTGCATTCTCTTTGCATGTCTATGGTAGATCTGCAGGTGGTTCTGGAGGCTATTCAAAATAATCACAGAACGCCAAGCAAATGCTGAATTACAAATATGAAATGTCAATTTTTATGTATATTTTAATATTCTCAGAGCCAAAAATTAGATGGTAAGATAGGCAAAGAAGTAAAGGAAAAAGACAATGACAGAAATACTGTATGGGGCCGCAATACAGAACCGGCACACTTTCTTTACTCCCCCCCCAAGGGAGGGGTGTGTATGTATGTGTGCAAAGGTGGCCAGGACCCCCTTGACCCTCACAGCTCCCCAGTTGAGTGCTGGGGACAAGACGTGGGGTGCCCCAACTCTGGAGTTGCCCCCATTCCAACCCAACCTCATCTCAACACCTGTTCCTGCACTCGGTGCTTTGGTGTTAGAGAAGGTCCTCTTTGGGTTCCGGGAAGAAGCTGTCCACAACCAATTCCTCACGCCACCTTAAGTGATATAAGACTTTGGCTGGATCTGGGGCATTCTCCACCAGGTTTCCAGATTTTTTTTTCCCCCAAAGGAAGTTCTAAGCGCTCTTCCCTAGGCCAGAAATGGGAGGAGGCCAGCAGTAGTGATGAAAATAAAACGTTCTCTGTCCAGAAAAAAAAAAGAAATATTGTATGGGATAATCCACTTAATCTAGTCAATGGCAGGAATATATTTCATTTTTGCTCTCAAGCAAAAAGTAGTAGCAGTTAGATATGGATTTTTTGTCCTCCATAAATATATACTCTTACACAATTCTCAATAACACTGAGAAAACAAATTAGTCGCAAAAGCTTTTAACAGTTGAAATATTTCATTAAATATTGACTTTAACAATGTTTTTGTGAATTCAAATATTACAGGTAATCCTTGCTTAACAGTGGCAATGGGGAGTGCTGGGATTTCCATCACTAAGTAATGCAGTTTCAAAGTGAGATGTCACATAATCATACTGCTTAGGGATGGAAATTCCAGCATTTCCTATTGCCAGCATTAAGCAAAAATCACAGGTGATTAAATAAGTCCAAGCAGGCCAGTAAGTGGCTACTGCAGGGCAGGGGAAGATGCATGGTTTGCCTGTAACTTATTGGAGTGACTTGCCATCTGCCCGGCTGATTTCCTCTTTGGCTTTGCTTGGGTGAAGCTGGCAGAGAATGGTGCAAATGCAAATGGTGATCACATGACTCTGGGATGCTGCAACTGTCATAAGTGCAGGCCAGTTGTCAAGCCCAGAGTGCAACCACATGACCACATGAGTGCTGGGACTGTGGGAATTTTGAGGACTAATTGTAAATACTACTTGTTCAGCACCATTGTAACAATTGCTGAATGAGTGGTTATTAAACAGCTACCTATAGACAACATATTTAATACTGGTTTGGCAGTTTCGATGCAAGAGAATCAGAGCAAACAATAAATCACTTTGCTAAATTTCACTGCCAGCCTTTATCTTTTGTTGACAACATCCCTCATTCTATACCACCAGTTTAAAGTTGTATACAGTGATTATAGAGGGCTTTGTCTTGCCCACACTTTCATGAAACTGTATGTGGTAATTTTAAATAGGTCTATAAATGATGGTTACCCAGCTGAATATAGCTGCTAGGCTAATTCCAAATTCTCCTTGTTAGCTTATGTTAGGCTCTCTCAGAATTTAATTCAATACTGTGTTTCCACGAAAATAAGACCTGGTCTTATATATTTTTTGCCTCCAAAAGAGGCAGTGGGTCTTATTTTCAGAGGATGTCTTTTTTCCCAACACCTACTTCGCTTTGAGGTGGTAGTACCAAGAGCCCCATCCAGCAGGAGGCCATGTGACTGCTGGCCCACTTCTGTGGCCCCTTGAGACCGCTTGCGGCAGGAGGCCGCGTGGCCTGCTGTGCCACTGCCACAAGGCAAGGCAGGTAGAGGGGGTGCAGCTGCAAGTGCCCCATAGGCGCCCAAACACTTTTCCCACAAACAGAGATCTGATGGAGACTGGAAGCTCTGTCTACTTGCGAATGGGGTGCTTTGAAACGGAGCAATTAGCTCCGTCTCCAAGCACCCCATTCACAACCAGTCGGAGCTTCCAGTCTGGGGGGAAACTGGGCATCTATCGGGTTCTTGGAAACCAAGTGAATCACTCAGTTTCCAAGCGCCCCATAGGCACCCAAACACTTCCCCTGCCTCTGCCTTTCTACGCAGACTTATCTGCTCTGCGCCAAGGAACGGCTGGGCTTGTTCTGTCTCCCGTCCGACCCACACACCCCAACCAGTCAGCCGAGGCCTGAAAAACTGCTCGGCACAGACAAAGACAAATGAATTTCTTGGCAGCAACTTCGTAGCTGCCTGCCAAGCCTTTACTGATAAGACACAGCAAACAGAGATAATCCAAGATAACTTGCCAGAGTGCTTGCAACAGAATATCCAGCAAAAATTGTCCGTCACGAAAATTCACACGCCACNCTGGCCAATCCCAGAAACACCGGGCTCCTGGCCAATCCCAGAAACACCGGGCTCCTGGCCAAACTCCTCTCCGTCGGAAGGCACCAAAGGCCTCACCAGAGGGGAAGGGCCTGGAGAGGGAGGCCTGGCCATCTCCTCTCCTTCATGTTCAGAGCCTTCCTCCTCTGATGAGAGGGACCCACCGGACGGAGCCACAACAGGGCTGCGGCTGCTGTCAAACACCATCGGCCCCCGTGTGCTCACTGCTGCTTGTGCTGACCATGCCCATCCCCTGTGGCTTATTTTTGGAGTAGGGCTTATATTAGGCCCACCCCAAAAACTCAGGGTGGGTGGGTCTTATTTTCGGGGAAACACGGTATGTATCCAGGTTTGCAAAAGTCAGTCGACCTGAAAGTGACCACTTTCCTTTTACCTGGTCTCTGAAAATCTTTGATTTTAACTTTTTAACTTCTTGCCGGATTGCAACAGTGGCTGATAACCTTTGCCCAATCGACATCACAGCAAGCAGCAATAATCATTAACTTTATTAGAGAGAAACCAGCCAAGTCTCTTTATTCAGTAATAGTGGATAGTAAGTTTCAAATTTCAGATTGTCCAAAACACAAGTAACAAGATAATTTGGTATGTAATTTACAAACCATAATATCCCTTGAAACAGTAACATTTATTAATAATCTAAAATATCAGATCCTCCCATCCTAAATCCTGGAATTTCCCCTCTTTCTCCTCCTAAGAAGGCTAGTCTAGCCTTTTTTCCCCCCTTAATTGGAGACATATTCTGCCAAGCTTTTAATAATTTCACTCTCCACTTTTATTATTCTGTTAATACTACACTGTTCAACTATTTTAGTATACATATTTAACCTTTTTATTGTTTTCATTTTTACAATTCTTCTCTGTTAAACAGATGTTTGAGACAATAGAAGAATATTCTAAATATATACATACATTCTAAATACACACACACACACACACATATATATATATATAAATGAAGATAAGTGTGAATTTATCAAACATATTTGACATGAAAAATCTTTCCTTGGCTTTCAAGCAATCAGTTCAAGATGCATAGAATTAAAAAAGGGTTAGAAGTGAATTGCATAATTTTAGACACATGACTCAGCTGACTGCACTTGGAAAAGAGATTTTGAACAATCTTGCAAACTAAATGTTTTTCCTTTGACCGTGTATTTTTCACTTAGCCTAGCTAGAATCTTAATACAAACAACAAATAAGGAGCACTAGCATCATCAGTTGTGAACAAAATAACTATACAACTAACAAAATAATGACATAAACCAGTGCTAGATGTAATAATGCCTCTAAAAACTCAACCAATGAAGAGAACAAGAGAAATAGGGATGGGTTGGGAAAGATCTAGAAGCACACAAATAAGAGTATCTTGCACTGTGGACCGAAAGCAGAGTTAGGAAGACCTACTAAAAAAATCTACTACAATAATTCAGGTGGGATACCACTAATGCAAGGACTAATGGCATTGTCATTTCTAGAGGAATGAATATTATTTCATTTGTTCTAATTGTTTGATTTAACTTTGTACATCACTCAGAAAGAAGTTAAATGTGTTAAGTTTCAGTTACTAAATGTTTCTGGACCATTTATGGTTCTCCTTGGTTGGATTATTTAAGAAATAAACTGAATTAGGAATTGGAGCTGATTTAGTCATTTTTTCTAGTTTTAAGATTGTTCTTATTCATATGCCAAGTTGCACACTTACTGGGTTCTTAAAAATAGGGGGAAAAAGCTGTAGAAAAAGGGCCAGTGTTTTCATGAGAAAGTATGCCTTGATTTTCACAGTTAATTGTAATAGTTGTTTACTTTGAAAGTTATATATGTCAAAAATCTCTGGCATCCTGTCTGTCTAACAAGATTGAAAATGCATATGCCCCCAGTTTGTTACACATGCTCCTTTCAAATAGAATAAGAAAGGTGCTTCAAAATTATGTTTATTTCTTTGACTGTAAATTTAAAATATTTTTGGAGAAAAAGGGCCAACAATAAACTAGGATTTGATATCTAACTGCCTCATTAATCATACTGTATACTTACTTTTCACCTCAGTTAACTGAGATTCTAAAATCAAGAGGTAGCTTTAAACATTTAACAATTTATTTACTAGAAAAAAAAAGCAATAACACATCAAAATGTTATAGCAGAAAAAAAGCTGATTTTCTTTTAAAGTAAGTATGAACATATGAATATTCCTAACCTGTAAAATGATTCCTCCACATTATATCAGCGAAACTCATTGGTGGGCCACTGGGAGGGTAGTGTTTACCTTTAAGAGGTTCATGATCAGTCCTTATCATATCCATTAATGAGTTTTCCAAAGAGTGCAAGTTAAAAGTATCATAGGGCCGATTCCGGTCCTAGGAAAAAAACAAAACAAAACAAAAAAAGGACCATTACAAAATTGTCACTAAATAATGCAGTCATTTAATACTTATTCCATTCATCACAAATTATGATAAGATTAGCAAAAATATTCAAAGCTCAAGTTAATAATTCTATTAACAAATGTTGAGAACAGGAGGACAAGTAAACAGGAGGATTATACTTATCTTTCTCCAGAAATATAATTTTATTTTAACATGTTAGCACAAATGTACTTTTCCACTATCGAACTGCATTCTAAAGCAAAGGCTTCCATATATCCTATTTTCTCACACACTGAGCATGATCTATTAAAGTGTACAGTGGACAAAGGTTAAACAACTGACATATAAATTATATGACATTAAGTGTCATGTATATCCATGATCTAGAATGGGACGAAGGAGACTCCTATATTCCCAATTAAATGAGTTTGTGTCAAGATATATGCATTTGATTTTCAAGTATATTGCAATTGTATTTCTCCCTCTTCAAAACCATCAAATACAATTCTAAAGCAAACATAAAAACACTTTAGAAAAAGAGAAACAGTGGGATGCAAGGTAATTTGTGAATGGAATATTGCTGACAATTTTCTGCATCCAAATCACAGTTTACAGTAAAACCCCTTACTTTTTAAAAATATAATTTAACATTTCTATGAAGGTCATAAGAATTAAATACAGTACACAAAAAGTAGTTAGAGTTGACAGATACTTTACCAAGATGAATTTTATATTTCAAAGTATGTTGATAAACAGAAAGCCAAGATACAAAGTAGGCAAGGAAATAAGCTTAATTTAAAATATAACCTACACATAATACCATTTGCATCTAATGAAAGGCTCTGCCCCTTCTGCTTGCAAAATAAGGCAATTATTTTAATCATACTGCTGTTTCTATGAAGATTACAAGAAGTTAAATACTGTACAGAAACAGATACTTAACCAAGATGAATTTTACATTTCAAAGTATGTTGATAAACAGAAGCCAAGATTCAAGGTAACCAAGAAATGAAAACATATTAATTTGAAATACATCCTGAAAATAATACTGCTTGCACCCAAGGAAAGCTTTACATTTTTAGCTTGCAAAATAAAACAATTATTTTGATACAAAACCCTTGGGTAGAGTAAAATTGTGCAAACAACTTGGGAGCAGATAAATGCACTGAAGCACAGCACAATAATAAGCAGTATGCAGATCTTGAAAATATTTTTATTTTTTAGTGCAAGAATAAAGTGCGCACAGAATTAAAACTGAAGGGATAATTATATATTTTTTAAAATAAATAAAATAAAAAGTTCATAACTTTTGGGCTCTGAAATACTTTCTTTTTGTTAAATTTTGGTATTCTCATCTTCTACAAGAAAAAGCAGCACCAGGCTCCATTTACCAAAATCAGCTTGAAAAAAATAAGTATAATTTGAGGAATCATCTGATTTACATAACAACCTACACACACACACACACACAGAGAGAGAGAGAGAGAGAGAGAGAGAGTATAATTATCATTTAAGGGGAATTTATTTCCACAAACATCCAAACTTTTAGCTAATAACCTGAACTTGTTTACTGTTGGAAAGGAATATATATACATGGAGTTACATCTTTTATCATATTTCCAATACTTGTTCTGTATGTTTAACCATTCCCCACAAATCTGAACTATCTCACCATGGGAATGCCATTTTTCCTGCATTTAAATTCTCAATTAAAGGAATGCTGGTGCCACAAACCCAGGTTTAACAGCTGGTGCCACATAATCCAAGTTTAACAGCAATATCAAAGGTTGTATAGGCTCAGTGATTGCTGATACAAGCCGAATGGTTTTTATAGTGATCATTAAATTGCCTAGAAAATGACTGCCAGGATTAAAATGGGTCTTAAGATTAGATGGGGCTTGTTCCTATAATCAAACATTATACACAGATTATGAAGCTACCTAGAAACTAAGAATGTACAATGGTTTGGATGTGATCTGAAATAGGTATTCCTGAATACAGTGAAGTATAAACAAAACACTTATTTGCAGAATCCAATCTGGATCGGTCACGATGACCAGAGGTTTAGTCTTTCAAGCTTTTGGACTCATGCTGGAACCCATCCTCAAGTAACTTCTCTCTAGTAGAATGTGTTATAATAAATATAGTTATATTAATAAATCACTTATTTGTGATTCATTAAAATAACCATATTTATTCTCAGGTTTCCATGCATTTGGAAACATTATTTAGAATTGGATACAAAACATTGGCCAGCCATATTAAAAACTGATTAGAAAAATTAAGATTAGATTTGCTGGTAAAGCTTTATTAAAGATCCACCAGAGTACTTATGGTTGAGGAAGAGGTTTTGTGAATGAGAATGAGAAACCTATGGAATTCCACTGCTGCATGGCTAAAAACAGAAGTCTGCCAAATCCTCTTGTGCCTCAGCTATACCAAAAGAAAGTTTACCCAGATGCACAATGCATGTAATGCTAAAATAGAATGTTGGAGCTACTTTCAGAGAGGTACAAAATCTTCAATATAAATGCTCTGAAAGAGAAATTTAAATTTGTCTGGTAAAACTGTAGCAGAAAAATACTTCCTGTGAGTTTTCCAGACCAGACATTATATAATATATAGACCATTTCTTGAAATCCAAGCTACACAGTAATATTTTGTTCTGGAAGGGGCGTTGTCTTACCTGAACGCCTTTTCTCAGCACGGAGATGGAGACTCCACCATTGGGTAGTAGACTGTATTCCTGCCCAATCAGATCAAGTCAGCCAAAGTTGCCACGCCCGTCCTGGATCGTGATCTCCAGTCTTTGACGCGAGCGTAGCCATTGACTGACAGCAAGACGTTGTGGCTCACCAAACTAAC